ATATATATATATATATATATACTAGAAATAAATATAAATTATTTAGACACAAAGTATATATCATAAGGAATTTACGAACATATTGTTTTTCAAAGTTTTTAGTTATTTTAAAAATGCAAAATGGGTAGAAATTTAATCTCATATTTAACTAGATGATATAGATTTTCTTACAATTACTGTCAAAACATTAAAAATGTCTTTTTTCCAGATCCAAATAATTGAAAGTCATTCGTATCTCTTCATAACATAAAATTATCGCGCTCCCATTTCTTTTCAAAAAATCGTTAGTCAGCCGTCAGTTTCTTTTCAGGTTAAGTCGAAACGTTTAATGGACGGAGCAGCTACCTGGCTTTACCTCGGGATCTCTTAAGGGTTTACTGGAAGATCGTTGTCTTTCTCTGTCTGGAAAATTAGCTAAAACTAGAGTGCTAAGTGCCCCGTGGAAGCGGAGCCGCCAGGACGGAACGGAATAAATGTACCGATCTAACATGGGTTGATCCCTCGTTCCTCCATCGAGATATTTATCACAGTAAGTGGGATCCGGTTAAATGCAACTCGTGATCTGATTTCTACGGGTCCTAAAAGCTTTCCTCGCCCGCCTGACCGACCCCACGAGGGCCGCGAGCCAGATTCGTAGCGGAGATTGAGCGCCGATGAAAGTAGCATTGTCGAAATTGTTCGCGAGATATTCGCGCGCGTGTGCGAATACAATACGCGTTCGAAAAAGCACGTGGGAATATCGCCTTCTAGCAATCTTCGAATTGCGATGTGAATAGATGTATTGCTACAATTAATTAAATTGATCTTCTCGACTTTCTGATTTTTTCGATTCTTTTTTTTCTCTTTTATCTATATTTGATTTTTAAAGAATATATGATTAAAAAGTCATTAATTTTTGTTCATTACATTTATCATTATTAATAACAAATTTATTTCACAATTTCTTAAATCATAATTATAATGTAATTAGAAAAAAAGATTAAGGAAGCTTTCGATATATTGATTATAATTGAATAAGTAAGTATAATTAAACATATTTATGATTTCATTATTATAAATCTGAGCTTTCAAAAATTGTTTTATTATATATATAATTCCGAGACAAAGGAAGATATATAAGAAAGGAAGGTATAAATATATATATACATATATATATTTTTTCCTACTATTTATTAAATAAAAATTTTTTTTAGACAGATAAAAATATCGTTAAAGAAAAAGAAAAGAATAGAAAAAAAGAGAAAAAAAAATATCTTTACTGTTGAGATGAGATTTATTGAAATTTTTTACGTGCCGCAACTTGTTTTTCTTTTCTGAAGTCGCGATGGGCGATCGTAAACGTAACGTGAATAATGAGTAAACGCAATATCGATACCGTCACCGTTGTGATTCATTCCCATGCCGAGTGTGGTTTTTTCGCGAGGTGCAATGCATACATGCACAATCCGATTACAGCGTGGTGGCGCATTTTCGGCAACGTCACGGCGGTAGCTCGGAACCGCGCGCGAACGAACACGCGCGGGGGTCTTTCTATACGGAAGAACGCGAGCGAGCGCTCTCTTCTCTCTCATCTCTTCTCTTCTCTCTCTCTCTCTCTCTCTCTCTCTCTCTCTTTCTCAAAAGTGAGGTTGCACGAGCCAACGTAGACCTTCACACAGTGTACCTCACTTGTACGCCCGTTGTACACAACGGATTAGGCGATAGTAATCCGCAGATCCGACCTCAAAGAGCGCCACCCGCTGCGAGTTTTCCCAAAACCTGTCGTGAAATTCGTCTGACCGCTTTATAATAGAAGCGAAAACGGCTACCGTGGGTTACCAAACAAGCTCTCGTGTCGAATCGACAAGATCCGTGAATTCCGCGGTGGGGCTCACTCCATAAACGAAACTGCACCTTGATGTCCCGTCTTTTATTCCGCGCTGTCTCGATTCGCACCTCAAGGAGAGTCTTTAGGACAGAAAAGGAGATGGAAGGCGGAGGAAAGGGAGATCTCAAGAGAGAAAATTGAAGCGGATTTTGGGGCTTGAGCCACCGAAACGAAATTAGACTTATCTCGATCATCGCGGATCCGTGTGGACAGCTGCACTCGCAGTGGTTCAAGAATGAAGAGCGGCCCTTCCTTTGTAGCTCGTCGCTCCGAGTACTCGCGTCAGATTTGCAAATAATTCGAAAGAAACGTGCATTCGAGGCCACGACGTTGCTCTTTTCTACGGTCGGACACGCGCCATTGTGAACGTCCGATAGCAGCCGATGGCGGATCTAAGAAGAGACTACAATGAAATAGTCGAGGAGTATCAAATGGGAAAATCTGGATACACAGAAGCCGAATTTACGGTAATTTCGGCTCGATCCGCTTCCGATGGACCGAGGATGATAGGAGGAGAATAGCGAGTTTTTATACAATTTGAAACGTCGCTTTGACATGGTGTCAGATGTCCTTTATTCCGAAGAATGCATTCATGTAGATGAGATTTCTTTCGATGCTATAAAAGTATCAAATAATCATTTAACTTAATTGTTTGATAATTGTTGATAAGGTAACTTGCTCAAAAAAATTTTAATATATTACATATCTAAAAATCAAAAAATAATAATTTATTATTTCTTTTTAATAAAATGAAATTATCATTTATAGCAAACGTTAATTTATATAAAAATTTATTATAACAATATTTTTTACTAAAAAAGAATAAAATTTTTATAAACATAAATTTGTACTAATAAAATAATTTTCTAACATTTACAAAATTTT